AACAATGGTTCAACGATTTTCTGAACAGTCATTCCAGCCCAGACCATCAGCTTGGCGCTATGCTGTATACGTGACGCTGTGTATCTGCGTGGATTTGAACAAGCCCAGAATGGTTTTCGGTCCATTCCATGCAAATGGGAAACGGACCCATCCGTAAGCATTATGGAGTGAATCCACATGTGATCCGAAAACCAACGACAAAATGTATTCCGTTTATCTGGATTGTTTGGATTCAACACATGAACCTGGATTGCACGAAACCGACGAAGATTGCGTTCTTACAAAATCTTCTGAACCCCTTAGCGGGTAGTGTCACAATGCCGGGCGCTTCTACGTGTGCTGAGATCTGGCCTCTCAGATACTTCACATACAACGGTGCAAGTTGAAAAATCTGCACTACTAATGCAAGATCGCCCGGGTTTTCTGGCGTTCCACCCATTCCCACTTTTGTGGAAATTATTCCCCAATTGAGGCATGTAACGGCCGCTGACTGGTCGCTTGCTAGCGTTTAGAGTGTTATATCTTCGAGCTGTTTTTCGGCGTTTAGGTCACCTTGGCCATGCAGTTGAATAATTTGAACGCGCTGAACAATGACAGGCACGCTACGGCATTCCGGTTGCAGGAACGTCACCGAAAGGAGCGTAAACTCGTGTTCCATTGCTAAGACAGCGACAAGCTGGTAACTGACAAGAATGCCACCGGTTAGCTTGGTCCTCGAAGCCTTCTGTCCTCAAACACTGACCAGGAGGTATCGATCTTTCAGTTTTCCGTAGTCTGCGCCTCATCGCGTGTAACGCCGTGCAAGTTGTGATACTCTGCGATTGTATGCGCAGATGCATCGTGTGAGATCTCATTGAATCTCCGGACTGCAGTTAGAATTCCTCGGGGTTTTCTCAAGGCACGCAACGTGCGGCAATTTATGGTGCGTCAGTGAAAATCAGTAGCCATTTCCCGGACCCGCCATAGATTCTTCACAGGCCCACATTGCTGGCGTTATGACACGGCTGTACATTTCTGGTCGGCTAATTGTTTTCGCTTCAGAATAATTTTATCCCAGACAGACCTGATTTGTCTGCCTAGTAGCATTTCTGACAATGACCTCCCATTACACGCGGGATGTGGGGTGATTCAGTACACAATGAGGAAGATTTGTATGCACTTGTCCGTGTGACCGTCCCCTCGCGCTTTGCTAAGTGTATGCTTTAACGTGTCAACAAACCTCTCAACCTGACCATTGGATTGAGGTTGGAAGTGTGGTGTTCACTTATGAGTCACACCGTTGGAGTGACAAAATGTCGCGAATTCCTCTGCGGTGAACTGTGGTCCAGCGTCGGATACATGTGTTTTGGCCATACCAAAACGACTGAAAACCTGGCGCAGCTGTCTGATGGAGGTTGATGCAGTGATTGTGGTCAACATTGGGATGACCTCTGGGCACTTACAATGAGACTTGATCTGCCCTCAAATGGCCCTGGATAGTTGTGCGTCTGAAGGGTCTCATTAAGACCTGTTGGAAAACCTGCACATACACGGATGGAGCCATTAGTCTTTCGTACTACCACAATGGGAGCAGCGCAGTCAGAGTAATCGACCGGTTGTATGACATCTGCTATTTGTAGACGAGTAAGCTCTTGCTCAAAGCTGGCTAGGGCAGAATGAGGTACTGGACGTCTTGAACCAAAAACTGGATTAGCATCTGTTCTCAACTGTAATTGGGCCTTTCTCTTTGGTACAAAGTCCGAAGCTGTTCCGAGAAACTACGGCGTATCGCTGTAACAACCGCTGTGAAATCGTCTGCTGGAGCCCTCTATCGACACTAACGGGTGGAATGCTGACACTCAGTGTCAGTTTGCACACTTTATCCAAAGGAAAACTCCGATGACTGAGCTTATCTAGCCAGTCAATACCAAGAATGTTCAAACCTGGCTGATTGTTGAGGCAACGTATAGACTGCAACCTTTGCCCATTGTAGCTTAACAAACAGGTTAACTCATCAACCAGTCCGAGAGTTGTTCCTGATGCACTGAGGGCAGTTTATTAAGTAGGCAAAACTGAAGGATGTCCGATGGCGTCCCAAATGGATTGTGAAATGATGGTGATGTCCGATCCAGTGTCTAACTGAAGAGTTTCGGGATACCCATTAACACTCACTGTCAGTTAGTGTCTTAGCGAGATAGCGTTGACTTGTTGGATAGCAACAATGCTGTGGCTAACCTTCTTCTGTAGTGGCTTTGAAGGTCGTTTGTTGGAATTGTCAGTTTTAGTCACTGTGTGGCTTGCAGAAACCATCTTTGTGACCAAAACGTTGACATTGGTTATATCGATTTTGGCGAAAAGTGCACCGTGATGTGAAGTTCCGTGCGCCACGGTTCCAACATGCTGTAGGCGGCTTTTTTGGTTTGATCTGACCGGTCTAACACCCATCATGTTGATCTGCTGCTGTTCCACCATACTGGAATCATGCTTCAGGTTAAGCAAGCGCAGACATTCCTCGGGCATCCTCTGCAACCTAATGTCTGGGTCTTGCTCCAGCTTGGTGAGAAGTCGTGTGCGGATGTTCGCTTCTGATGGAGACTGTAGACCACAGATGAACATCAGACACTTGAATTGTGTCTCGGTTACGAATGCCAGTTTAAAGCGTTCGCACCCTCGGTAGACTGCAACTGCATAGGTAATATAGTCATCCATGGAATGTTTGGCAAGTTGTAAACAGGAATAGCGTGTGCTGGAGTGAGGAACATTCGCCAAAGATCTGGTTGGTTCTTTGTCTAGTTGCTAGACTGCTATTACTACTACTACTACTACTACTACTACTACTACTACTACTACTACTACTACTACTACTACTACTACTATTACTACTACTACTACTACTACTACTACTATTCCTACTACTACTACTACTATTACTACTACTATTACTACCACTACTACTACTACTACTATTACTACCACTACTACTATTCTTACTATTACTACTATTACTACTACTACTATTACTACTACTACTACTACTACTACTACTGCTACTACTACTTATTACTACTACTACTTACTACTACTACTATCTGAGTGAAACATTGAACTGTGTCATCGAATGAAAAACCACTTGGGTGTTCTGCAAAAATGTAATTTACGGTCGTGTTCCGTGACCCCCAACTCACGAAGCAGTGTACGAGATCGCTATGTATCCTCCTTGCCACCGCGCTCAACCCGAAATATGTCCTCATAGCGTTTGAACCAAGACTCAAACGTAACACCAGATGGAAAGTCATGTTGGAAAAAATGGATTGTAGACACAATTGGCTCCAAATTGCTTTACACATCATACGGTGCCTTGTCCTTAGGAATCATTGAAAGGTTACGAGTCAGGGTATCAGGTAGACGGAGTTGGGCGGCTTCGAATTGCGTCTGCTGTTGTTGAAGAATCGCAACGAGATGGTCTGCTGGGATTGCCATTTCATTTACCAAATCCGTCACCAGTTGGCATGACCTGAACTACTCCAAGTAGGTGGACAAAATACCAGGTCGTGGATACGACCAGGTAATATTGATGCAGCGAGATCAAGAGTCATGGGTCTCGTAACGGCTGAGTTATACGGTTCATTAATTGCGAACTCAGATGATTGGCTGGGCACTGGCACAGTCTGATTGGATCGGGGGATAGCTGAGATCAGGTCATGTGCAGCATTTGGGTTGGGCTTCCGTATATGACATTTTCAATAGTCATGAAAGCTACCATTGCCGACGCACTCGTCTTACCTTAACGAACATAGCCATATCGCGCAACAGCAACCTGGCTTCTGCCGGTAGCGATCATTACTACAAATCTACTCTTAGCATGGAATAGTGTAATTCAAACAGTGGATGTCACCGTAGGAGTTGAGATTGCGGCTCTTAAGTAGAGCTCTTGATTACTTCGACCCGTCTATTTCTTCTGATCCATTTCTGTCTACATACACCCGCACTTGGAGCACGCGATTCAAGCAGGCAGCCAAGGTAGAAGAGGGATCTCAACGTCTTGGAAATTTCAGAATGTCGGGCTAAAAAATTCATCCAAAGACCATACTACATATGCTACGAACGGTGGTTGAGTATTTTGGTAGTTTTCAGTGGGTACCATGAGCGTTTGCGTGGTCCCCTTCTCATGGCTTACCACATTTTAAGCAACCATAATCACTGGTGTTATCAGTTACTGAAGCTCAGCCATCATAGCAGACCGAAATTTCACCGTCTCAAGCTGGCAGAACTATACAACCGGCTAAGTGTAGACGGATTGTTTTCTCCCTGCTTTTTTGACACATGGAATTCACTATCATAACCAGTTATTTCAGCCCCTACATTTGCTGTGTTCAAAGCTCGTATGGATAATGCGCTGGCCGCTTTACACCACATCATATAACTCACATGAATCATACATGCATCAAAATAACCTAACCGCATCGACGCACACCTGTTGTATTGAGAGAACCAACAGTAATGACATCACAAGGTGCACAAAGACACTGTTCAAACGGACAGAGTATTGTCATGCAATTTCACTGTTTTCAGTTCCGCCGTTTATGGTTGTTTTCCGTTTTATTTGGAATAACCTCACCCACGACCCTTCGGAATACGACTTTTCGGGACCCTTCGACGTTTTATCTGCAATACACCACGGACGATTAACCGATGCGCCTTGAATCTTTCGTTTCTTTACTAACTGGACATGAACTAATGGGTAGGAAGTAATGCCAAAGTGGAAACATTCGTTCATAGCAGATCAGGTCCGATTCCAAAGACGTCACAGGCTTCTACCTACCTTAAAGTACTGTAGGATATACCTATGGTTTGTTGTCCAGCGTAACACTGGAGTTTAATTAGCAGAAACTGGCAAAAATGTGTTTGTCAAGTGTTGGAATTTGTCGCATGTCATATTCGTTCCTCCACTACTAAAATTTTTTCTATCGGACACCGTTCGATGTGGTCCATCATGTAACTCACCTCTTGTTTTAACAAAGGTACGAGTTATTCTACAAGCAAGCAGTAACCACTGAAGATATTTACCTTCAAATGGGTATGAAGAATCCAACCACGGCCAGTTGCGAGTTCTTAGTGGTGAGTCGGAACCGTCGTCATTTTATTGAACTTTGGGAAAATGTGATCTATGACTCAATTTTCTAGCACAATAACACATATACTGTCCAGCCGTTATCAGTTCGATACCAAAAGTTGCAAGTGCCCTCCAATTCACTAATAGGAGCTGTGAATGTAGATACAGAGACGTAACTAGTACACCTGGGAATTTGACACTGAGCCGAGTTCAACGTCTCCCTTATTTAGTTAGATTCTACTATACCCTTCAACCAATGGACGTCGTAGTTCTACATTTGACTAGAACAAAGAGAGCATCTAGATTGGTCTTTGAAGCATGACTAAAAGAACACGATCAACTGGAAATTTCGAATGAATAGATTGGGCTTAACTGAATACTACAGGATTATAAGGTAACACTGCTAAGCATGTAACACCCGCTTCTAAGACCCATAATCCCAGCAAGCGGGGCACGTCTAAACAGCAGGAGATTTATCAATCAATTGAGAAGGTACAAGATTCACTGAAACTCATCTTGCGGGACTGGGGGCGGGTGTGAAATGGTTGGGTGGCTAGTGTGAGTGATAACCAATCCGCTCACAACGGACGTAAACGGATGGAAGTCGTGCGCTCAGGTGACATCCCCTCAGCTCTTGAAAGGTTTACACTCCTGGCACAAAACGATCAACGGGTTTATGCGTACGCTGAGATCAATGATGCTGCATCTGACGTTTGTAAAGTATCCTAGGGATTTGCTTCATTTGACGGCTGTGCCGAATTTGATTTGTTCACGCATTCGTCTGTTGTTGTCCCAACACAACGTGAACCTGTGATCTGAGTGTTGCTGTACTACGCGATCATTTAATTCAAGGTCTGCTTGGGTGCAGTCACCCCTAATAAGAGTTGCGGGTTGCTAGCAGTGTTCATGGAGAAGTCGTGTGTATTCGGGATCACCCGGCTGCCAATCAGAGTCATGGTCATCTTGCGATGCGGTAGCCTTGTCTTGTTTTCTCTCCGTTTGTGCTCGACAGTTTGGAAACAGAAGATCCAATTTGGTACGGTTTGGCCAAACTTCATCTGCGCAGCTGATCTACCGGTGGATTCCGTTGGCGTCATCCTTACGCAAACAGCAAGCGATCTAATCCCGTCTAAATAGATCCAGCTACTTGTTTCAATAGACCACTTTTAATGGTCTGCACCGTCCTTTCCTCTAGCCCATTAGACGCACGATGAAATGGAGCTGTTCGGACGTGCTGGACACCATTTCATTTCATTAAAATTTCAAATTCTTTACTAGTGAAGTATGGTCTATTATCTTTCAGAGTCTCTGGTAACATAAAGATTGCAGATGACGACCGCAATTTCGAGACAGTTGTTTCCGCAGTAGGGTAAGAAACTGAATAAACATCTATTCATTTCAAATAAGCGTCAAATGACAGCAAGAAAAATACACCATTACCAGGTCTAAAGTGGTCTGCATGGATATGTTACCATGAGTTATCAGGCCAAGGCCAATGAGGTGCCGGAATGGGGGTTATCAGACTGATTTGCGGATACAGTCCAAATATTTTTAGATAGTTATCTATTTCGGATCTAGGCCAGGCCATCAGCAATGACCGCGCGCAAGGCTTTTATTTGAGCTACGCCTGAAGGTGCATTGTGAAATTCGTTTAGGATGAACGGACATGCCTTTAGCGGCGGAATCAGGCAGAATCCCCAAAACTAGCATCCATCTTGCATGCTCAATTCATTTTTCCGTTGTCCGTAAGGCTTAAAAACGACGAGAACTGTAGTAGGCTAGCCGGTTTTTTAATCGTACTACAGAAGATAGCGTCAGGTCATGGTCATGAGAGTGACGTATGGTGTCACATGTCAATGGAGTGGTGTCGAGATGTTGCATTAGATGTACTAACTCTACTGGTTCCTCCACTATTTCGCCTGGGGTGGCATGTGATAACCTGCTTAATGCATCCGCTGTATGATTGTTCAACCCAGGGACATATGGGATTCAATATTTATATGCACTTACTGTCCGGCGTTGTATTCTCGATGAAATCTCCTCCTCGATCCCCCTTGACTCGCTCAGCAAGAATATCAGTAGTTGGTGATCTGTTTGTATTTCTAAATAGTTGCCTCAAATCTACTGATGAAACCTCGACACAAATTGTAACTGACAGGGCTTTTTATATTCAAGTTGGAGTAATTCTTTTCGGCGGCCTATAAGGTTCGTGAGGCAAATGCAATCGGGTGGATGACATCATTCGACATTTAGTGACACACAACTAGTGCGACTCCGTATGGAGAGGCATCACACTGTAAGATTTGCGGTTGCATACAATCGCAGTGGAATAAAACAGGTGCGGAAGCAAGACACTTCTTTGCACAAGCGAAAACAGATTGATGATCGCTTTTCCACATCCACGGGGTGTTTTTGTGTAGCAGTTCGTTCAATGGGGCAAGAATGGTTGAGGAATCCGGTAGGAAACGACGATACTGCGACAACATTCCTAGGAATGGTCGTGATTCATCACTATCCTTGCTCTGAGGTGCTTGCACCATAGGCACTATTTTATCTTGCAGGATATGCAAACCGGTTTTTGTCTAGTTTGCAACCGAGGTAACAAACGGAATCGGAGTAGAACTCACATTTGGACTATTTTAATTTCAATCCACACTCTTCTAGACGCTCGAGGACAGTTCGCAATGTATTTAGATGATCAGCGTCACTGCGGCTATTAACAACGATGTCGTCTAAGTATGCGTAAGCAAACGGTATCTTCTTAATTGCCTTATCCACGATCCGTTGGAAAATGCTGGGTGCTGAATTTACTCGGAAAGTGAGACGTGTGTACTGGAATAGTTCCAGGTGGGTGGTTATTTTGGTCAGTTTCTGTGACACATCATCAAGTTCGACTTGAGAGTATGCGCGACTCGGATACAGATTGGAAAATTTCTGGTCGCCGGCTAACCTCACGTACAAGCCTTTCATACATGGTACGGGATCTTTATCTACTTTCTTTGTTTGCTTGACTGTCAGTTTGTAGTCTCCTCAAATACGAACAGAGTCGTCAGGTTTGAGTATAAGTACAATCGGAGCGGCCCAATCTGAATATGGCACCGGAACTATGAGTCCTTCTGATTGCAGCCGTTGAATGTCTGCCTCAACTTTAGGGTGTACTGCATATGGTAATAATCTGGCGTTGTAAAACTTTGGCTCGGCACTCTCCTGGGGTTTGATAAAAGTCTTGAAATGATGCATTTTCCCCCACTTGCTTTCAAACAACGATGAGAACTGGTTCAATAATCCATTCAAACTGCCGTCTTCAACCATGAGTTTGTTGAGTTGCATGGTTTTGGGGAAGATCTGTATCCAGTCTCGACCCATGAGATTCGGTTTGTTCCCAGGTACGACGATTAAGGGCAGTGGCGTAGCAAGCATCTTTGGCGCCCCCTTCTCTAGCATAAGTTAATCCGTAAACCCACAATATCGCGAACAACCCTTAACTACTTTGTTTCAGGGAACAAAAACAAACGACGAACTTTATTGTTTACGTAATTCGCTAATGTACTTTTCGTGCTTTACTGCCAGCAAAAAATATCAAGAGCATTATCAAAATTCAGTCTATTGGCCAGCTCTCTTTCTATGGAGAGAATAGCCCCAGGATTATTATTATTAGTCCTGTTATTATTATTATTACTATTATTTCGATATCCCCACCAACTATCCAACGGGACTTGTAAAGCAACACTTCTTGACCCGTATAAATCCATTGTTTATTGTTCATATACCAGGAGGGCAAGTAACCATGGTGGTCTAGATTGGATAAACAAATAGTTGGTGGGAATTAAGAGTTAGATCGCCTCATCCAGCTTGCGAATTCTGTGGTAAATTTCCTGATAACACTTATCAAGCAGATTTGACGGTGTCAAGAACCTATATTTATTTGTATGTTCATGAACTTGCTGAAATCTACGACATATTTCCTCAGTCAAGCTGTCAATGACAGATAGCATTTTTTGTCGCAATGCGACATCAAGTCCCCTAGATGAATCAAACGATTCTTTCCCATCCATGCGCATTTTCCCCGACGAATTCGACGTACCATGCTTATCCGCAATTCAGAGCACAGTGTTCTAGATGTAGTCCTTGCACTCTCCACCATCTTCTCACTGTGCTGAAAAAGGCAATTTCTTAACCCTGTGAGCTTAACAGAACTCTGCTGCAGATCTAGCCATTTTGTTTGAACGTACTGCTGTGCATCAATGATTTCCGAGAGAACGGAACTTCAAACGCTTAGAAGCGAAGTAAACGGAAATGATTGTACCGAGATGAGAATTAAGGAGGCAGCCGAACTTGTGGCCGAATTTTCTCTTTCCTCGCTCAGCTGTTCCAGAGCATTGACGATTTCCGTGTACTTCTTCATCACAACGTTTACGTTGTCTACTCGATTACCCTACCTAGTTTCTACAGCCCACTTTGTACTTAGACCGGTCACTTGAATCAAGATTTCCCAGCGGTTTGTAGATGTGGACAAAAGCGAAAATAGCCGTTCCATCGTACCCAAAAAGGTAACCGATTGAACTGTCGCAGAAGCTGCATGTACACAGGCCAGATTAAGGGAATGGTTTGTGCATAGCACAAATGTAGTTTTTGAGTTGATTTCACAAATGCTTCTCTGGACCCGGTCGGTATCCCGCAATAGCAGCAGCATTATCAAACGCCTGGCCACGGCAACCATCAATCCGAATTCCATCTCGAGCCAGTTCTTTTAGAATCAGCCCAGAAATGTCTTCTGCACTGTTGCTGTTGGTCTCAATGAAGAGGAGAAACGACTCCTCAACCCTCACTTCATTTTCACGCATCTTCACATAACGCAACACCTCGCTCATATGATTTTTGTGGAAAACTTCAGGAGTGTTATCAAAACTTAATCAAAATATTTGCTTTCCTTGAACTGATCTATGCTTTTCTTACCTGCATTGCTAGGATACTCACAAATTCATTTTGAACTTCCGGAGATAAA